CAACAGCTGAGTTTCTTGCCCGTTCTTCTCAGCTGAAATTGTATTGCGAACTGGATGGTAGACTCATAAAAAAATGACTGTACAAAAATTCTTATAGTAAGTTTGCTTGAATAAAAAAACGTTTATTAATATTTAGAAATAACTGTTATGGATATAATATTTTATTGTGTTATGGAGAAATGTCGTTAGTAAGGATATAATATTGTACTTGTACTTTTTAAATTTATTATGTATAATTAAATATATAAAATGAACAAATAAAGCACAACTAATTAATTTATTAATGGCATATATTTAATTTCTAATCTATTATGTTGTTATATTAACCGTTATCTATCGACTGCTAAACATAGCCTCCCCCATAAGGATGTTTTGCTATTAATTGCAACGCTTTGAAGGTGGATTGGCAATCGCAATTTAGCTTTTTCTGATGTTTTAAGAGGGATTCTGCTGACCATTCCTCCACCATAAATTCCTTTAGTCTTACGCCTCTTACAACACCCACGGGAAAGGAAGGGGTAGCCTATTTTAAGCCGGGACCACACGGAACTATACATATCATAAAAATTTTGTTGCCTTTTTCTTCCAGTCTTTTCTATCACGCATTTAATGAATTCTTTTTTAGTTAACACACAGTTTTTGTATGAGTTATGGAGTGGGTAGTACCGACTATTTACGGATGTTAAATCTAGTGGAAAATTACCCGTATGGAGACGTTATTACCCAGTTTTTCGAAATGTCATTTCTACACGGTATTTTTTTATTTTTATTATTAAATCGTAAATAGATGTATATAGGAAAAAGAAAGAAATATGAAACTATATATAAGACCTGTATTTTAATTAGGTAGATAGCATGTTATGTATCAAAAACGTCCATTAAAATAGGCATCCATTAAAAATGTTTATACCTATATGTTTTCATGTTTCACAGAGGTGCTGTTATTTTATTTATTTACATATTCTTTATTGATCACAACCCAAAAATAAATTTAGTACAAAAGGCGGACTTAATGCTACACAGCATCCTCTCCCAGTCAACCTCTGGCAAAACAGAAATGTAATTATGCGGTGAAAAATTAAATTTTTTTGTAAATAAACAGTAATAGATGTAATCAAATTGACTTACAAATTACAAATACACTGGAAAACTACTGCACATTATGATTATATAAATACATACATGAATACTTTAAAAAAATAGATCTCATAAAAGCATACATACAAATATAAATATACATATATACACGATATTATACTATAATATCAATACAAAAGTGATAAAGATCAAAGGTGATAATGATGAAGAAGATAATGCACTGTTTTCATAGCTTCTTTATAAGAGACTCGTAGACAAATTTACTATTAAAAATGTTTTAAAAGCAAATTCGTTGGACACTTGTCTGTCAATAGATAGTGCCTTCCAGAGTCATGAGGCCTCAAGAATGAAGGAAAGGGAAAGAAAAGCAGAACAATGGAGTGGAATGAATAGCGAAATTGAATTTAAACAGCGAATAGCTATTTAAATTTAATATTACACTGGTATGTGATCTCGACATGGCTTCCTTCCTGTACCGTGGGTGTCGTAAGAGGTTACTAAGAGAATTTAATGATCGAGGGATAGGCAGCATATATCCCTCTTAAAACATTATCAAAGCCTAACTGCGGTTGCTCAACCATATATTAAGTGAGGCAACTACTGGCAAAAACCATTAGGCAAATACCAGAGGGAGACTTTGTACAAAAGTCGATTGCTTGGGTACCTCTGTCCCATTCGTGCTTCAACCGTAAAGTAGTTGTGTTTGCATGGCTGTGTTTCGGTTTGAAGGGTGGGATATGGCGTGAATTTACTGGGTACGGAGGAATTATAACACCTGTGACCACGGACACCAACACGGTGACCACTTTCCATCAGGTGGGCCGTCAGCTTGTTTGCCATTCTAAGTTGAATAAAAAAAAATCCTTATGGGGGAGGCGTATGTTTACCAATGGACAGTTAACGCCTGATATAATAATATACCAGCTTGCAAGTGTAAATGGTACAAACATCGTTGGTACTTCCAAACATTATATACGTGAGCTCTCTATGTTATTACGCGAAACTAGACTAATTTGTAATGAATAACAAATGCCTACACAAAATGTAAATTGAATGTAATACAATATACAAATACTGCCTCTTCCCTGCCTCTTCCCTGCCATGCATCATATTTGGCATACTAATTTTAAAATACTATTTTCATATCGAACCTTAATAAATATACCTTAGTGCCAATAGAATAAATAATGGCTCATAAAATAATTGTTCTACTCAGCATGCTTTATTTGCTGCAGTTGTTATAGATATTTTCTAATGGTAATAAGGTAGAAAATCGAATATGCTGTTTATTTCAGTGTTAATACCGTCCTGTCTAGATTTTATTGCTACCAATCACGAATTACTACAGTAGGTATATGGATAAAAATAACCCCATAACTAATTATATTAAATGCGTCTATTTAAATCACATTTTCATTTGCATACTTACATTCTCTTCATTTGAGGAAAATCACATATCTAACGTTAAGATACAATTCATCACAAGAAGTCTGAATAAAATAAAAACCCAATATAATTATGTTTCAAGGAGGGATGGGACATATTTATATATTACTATTGCTATCAATAACTATATATTTTAGTGAATATTATAGTGAATATACTGATCCAATAATGAATATATTAACCTTTCTTTGCATACTGGTGGAAATTTTCATCATAACATTAAATGCCCAAAAATTATATAAAAGAACAATTTCACTTTAAGTTGATCGTGTTTGAATACCTTTTTAATGTCCATTGCAGGAAAAAACCATATCTGTCAAATGTATTTTTCAAACCATTTTTCCTTTATTTTGAAATTTTTTTTTATACTACTTAGAATGGCAAACAAGTTGACGGCCGACCTGATGGAAAGTGGTAACCGTCGCCTATAGACATGAGCAGTACCATAGACATAACAGAGTATACTGTTTCGCCCATGATACCCCCTATGCATTGCCTAAATGAAACATCTTACTATACTTAAATAAATTTATAAAATAGTATTTTTAGATCATCTCCACAATTAAAAAAGTATTTTTAACTTAGACAAGTGGTATAGTTTGAAACTTGTGGGAAATTTGGAGTTTGAACTATGTCATAATCCTAAGTAATCCTAATCCTTCTAATAATCATAATAATCCTAAGTCCTAACAGCCTGTATCTTAATAAAAAAAATCTACTACGTATTTTTTTTAATACCGGGCAATCGAGCATACGGCTCACATTATAACTATAACCTCCCATAATCACCTGCAGCACCACAGGCACTGCAGGTGCGCTGCTGCCCTTTTAAAAAGTGATATGCTTATAAAGGATTATTTCTTGTTTTATTATGGGTTAAAATAATGAAAAACCCGTTGAGCTGAGAAAAAACAATGAATGAAAAGCGACATCATACGCGGAACAACTTGGAATTAGTTAATTATGCTCGTTTCAACGTCGCGAGCTGGCAGTTTATCCACATTTTCCTCTCGCCGTACACTTGGCATATCTCCAAAGTCTGTATGCGCCACGTAATTACCACAGATGCTTCCTTTGTTGTACGTTCGTGGCACACCGCAGCACGACATGAACGAGGTTTCACAAGGAAATGGCGCGAAAATAAGTCAGCAATCGATTTGTGATTGTATTCACCCTGTATACTAGCCGGTATACTTGATCCATAATCAAGTCGTCTCGTGCTTCTCCAAAATTTGCCAAAGTTTTTATTCGCTTGGTGCAAGGCTAATATATTCATTTTAATTTGATCCTCATTATTCTGGCACCACCTCAACTTGTTTTTAAAAGCCTTACGAGTATCAACCATATTTTTATAAATGTCGCCCGTCACCGGTCTACCACCTAGCACCCAACAGTCAAAATGAATTTTGGCTGTTTGATGTAAACGTTTTACGTGGTAGTTCCAACCTAATATATGTTTGTTCTTTTTCCGTGCACCTCGACTTACATACTTTATTGCACCATTCTGTAGAATTTGTACTATATTATTATAATAATTGTCCAATAAAAATAAATGCTTTTTGCAAAAGTGATTATTACAACAGTTGACACATTGACTAGACAATTTAAAATTTTGCAATCTATCATAACAATAGTCAGAGTATAAATGTATTTGCTCAACATTCCTTTCCCCCCAGCGAACACCACACAACACATCATCTGTATTATCAATTATTATTTTCTTAGCGACAGTACTGAGTTCACACAAAATTATTAGCGGGAGATGGTCCGACCAGTACACACCGTAGTCCACACGAGCCGCCGAGACAGTTTCACGAGCAGCAGCTGTCACCACACAATGGTCCAACCAGCGCCTTGTACCACATCCATCGTTCATATGAGTATAAGTACTATCCTCTAACAACTCTCGATCAACACACACTAGTGACTGTTCTGAGCAGAATGACAGTAGCTCGTTACCAAACCTAGATACAGGATGTGCATTGTAGTCTCCAAGCACGTAAATAGCCTCCGTTTCTGCGTCATTTATTATCGCCTGTACACTTCCCAAACAGTTAGTAAATTCTAGCAAATTCTCTTCCCTTCCCTCATCATATGGTAGATAAACACATATCACGACAATACTATGCCCATCGACATTAATTTGCACAGCAGCCAGTCTGTCACTAGGGAACTCTATAATAGACACTTTCGAGAAAACAGACTTACGCCACATCAGTGCAACACCTCCATAGGGTCGGCCTTTCAATAACCCAACGGATGTATCCACAGACGACTTTGCAAAACATCCAAAGTCCCTGTCAATCTCATTCACAAAATTAAGATCATGAGGAAGCAACCATGTTTCCTGCAACGCTAGGATATCAACGCTCTTACACAAATCTCTAATCTGATTAACAGATCTCTTTATCGATCTACAATTAAAAGTAGCCATGGATATAGATACCTTGTTAGATTTATCCATAAAGTGTGTTATTAGAAGCGGTACGAATCACTCGTTCTCGATAACGTCGAAATACCAATCCTACTGGCCAGAAACTAGAATTTAGGAAGGTATTTATTTTATTACTTGATATTTTAACCTTAAAAGAATTAAATGACGTCTCTCGGTTTTGTTTGAGTAGCTCAACATTAAAGCATTCTTCCCCCATATCCTGAATATGAGCCTTTATATTTGACTCCGTAACAGTTTTTGATGCCCTTGAAATATAAATCGAACACTGTGATTCAGCTACTTGAATTTTAGCCGTATTTTCTAAAGTACCACGCATATTAATAAGTTTTTGTTTACGTTTTTTATATTTAACAACAGTGAATTGCTCACTATTGTTGTTCTCAAGAGTCTCATTAGATGTAGGTATTACTATATTTTTCGACATTAACTGCGCAACCACTCCACACTTCCCAGTCACTGCACTCGCAGGCGATATTGTACCATGTATGCGGTGCCGCTTACGAGCGCTTTTCGTTTGACTCGACAGTGTCCGGTGAACAATATCACGATAGGTCGGTGTATGAACGGTGTCGGTCACGTCCAGCGTGCCGCCGTGCACCGGCGACGGCACAACGACAGGCGGTAGCGGGCGAAGCTCTGCATTAATACTCCTATTTCTCGTCGGAGTCGTCGGGCTACTATTTATCCTTGTGTCTTTATCTTGCTTATTTATCGTCATTGATAAGTGTAATTCAGTTAACTCGGAGCTAACTTTCGTCTGAAATTCATTTAATTCTGTTCGCATCATAGACATATCTTTCAATAGACGAGTCACATCTACATAGTCAAAGGTTACAGACGGTAGGCGACTTAAGTCACGCGCAACGAAAATTGGTTGTTTGTCTGGATCCACTTCTTTAAGCACTGTAATGATATCTTTCACATTTTTCTTCTTCTTGTCGTCGCCCTTTCTGTGAATGTTCCTGGATCCATTTCCACACGCACAATACAATACATTTTTCCCCGTTTCAATTTCAGAATCTGAATAATTCGAAGCACATATTTGCATGATACTAAGTTCATCCAAAATGTCTATTTTGTTTTGAATAAATGCTAAAAGTTCACTAATTATTATATTATCCGCCATCTCTTAATAATTTAGACCGCGCACTCGTACATTATAAAATGTTATTATTCCGCGTATACAAACAATACGTCTACCTTACTACGAAACATCTAGCGAACTGTAGTATAGTTGTAGTACTCTAGTATAGTTGTTGCACTTCTACATACATCATGTATATTTTATTATATTTACCCGACTGCCAAAAAAAAGAAGGCTGTGTCTTTTATTGGGTGAAAATGGCATGATAACCCCGCCTGTCGGTATACACTGGCGGGGTACCAGTGATAGGTGAGGATGAAAAGGCAGGTCAGTTAGCCCATCGTGACGAATTCAACGATAAATTAGTTACGATAGTTTCCAGGGGAATCGCGTGGAGGTCGACCTGATAGAGTATATTGATAGCAATGGGGACTAACCTCCCCATTACTAACAATCCCTTCCCCTGAAATCCAGTTGTCAGGTTTATACAAGGTGAAATCGAAATTAGTATAGCATCGCTTCAAAGGACTGAATATTTTTCCCAAAGATTATAAAGTCGAAAACGATAAAAAGATTTGTGATCTGAATTAATTTTACAAAAAGAAAATATTTAATTTTTTTGTATATTTAGATAGATACTCTTTATTGTTTCCTCCAAAAGATTACAATAATACTCGTAAACTTAATATAGACACAAACTATTATAATTATAAAACAATATTAGTTCATTTAAATGGATAGACTCAAAAATACTCAATCGATTTTTAATTTTTTTCCACTTTCAGAAATCATTATTATTAGCGAGTAACATGTGCCCATGTATTTATAAAAAAACTGTGTAAAGCTGGGGTAGATTGCTAGTATAATATAATGACTAACTAACTCTTCAGCTGGACGCCCTGTGGTAGTTTCATTCCTTTCAACATCCTTTTTCCATTTTATTATTTTATTACCTCAACTTTTTCATGTTATACGTTTTTTCCCCATTTTTGGTTTTTTATTCATTAAATTTGACGTATGCAGTATTCATTCATTCATTCATTCATTCATAAACAAAATACATGCATGTAATTCTGCATTGCAGTAGAAATGCACATTTACGATGAAAGCTGGCTGAATACTTTTTAATTGCTTATCCCACATTTTTTATTCTCTTCACAATCTCACATGGAGGGATTCATAAAAAAGTTTTCATACAAAATTCACTTGACAATCTTAATTCTGAATAGTCTAAGAATTTATTATGAAAATTATAATATAAATACTCTGTTAGTTTATGAATGTAAATTTATACTAGCTCACAGCAATATATTTGGAATGGTAGCGTGCATTTTACCAAATTACGTAACACGATTTAAAAAAAACGAAAATAAACTGTGTTGCAATAAATTTAACAGAGACTTAAGGGTACCATTAATTAATATTATTATAATATTATTAACTTTTTAATTAATACTTACTGTAAATAATTTTAATGGTATTTTTTGTTATTAGTATTTAATAATATTTGTACGCTTAACGATAGCAAAATATAACGTTTTATATAAAATGCAAAATTAAATTTATGACTATATTCGTGTTTATGGAAATAAATTATTAATTAATAAAAGAGCACGCAGTTTGAAATGATAAATGTCGCGTACAGACATGAACAGCAACCACGGTCTATGGAATGCCCTATGATGCCTACTTTGGCCTCATAGTGCATTTATAACGTCCAAATTCAACAACAAAGTCCAAATACTGTTATTCTTGAAATGTATCCTGTAATTTCTCTCTCATACCTTTTAAATAAAAAAACAAACGTATAAGCATAGATAGTATAATTTTTGTTAATTGGGAAAGAAAATGCGTAATATACAAGCACAAGAAACATCTCACCTCTTGGAAGTAACATGAAAAGTACCCATCAAAATCTCTAATCTTTTCAGAATTAGCAACTGTACTTAAAAAAAACAGTCAACTTGAAAACACCATCTTTGAAGTGTGTCGATAAAGACTAAGAATCCTGCACCTATGAATTTAAATGAGACAATTCAATCCTACGGCGGTGGTTATCCGTTTACGCCTTTAGTTAATCCTACACTTAATATTCTAGGCACGTGGACACAGCGCGTAATAGACTAGAGTAAACGACCACTACGTCTTCCTAACATCTCTTTTAATTTAGAATGCTAATTCTAATGGCTACTATAATGAGTTCATTCAAAAATAGTTTAGTTAAAAATAGTTGTGCTTTTTCACAATGTAATTAAGTTTAGAAAATATTTTATACTATCATCGAATATTTAATTATTAACATAAACTTATTTTCACGAAATAAGTGTGGACTGAAAGATGATGTAGTGACAAAAATCGAGAAGGAAATGTTGCGTCAGTTTGCTCATTTGGAGAGGATAGATGAAAGAAGAAATACGAAAGAGATTTGTTATGCAAGAATGAATGTAGATGTCGGTAGAGGCCAATCTAGATGGACGTATATCGACCAAATAGGCGATGTGCTGAAGAAAGACCAAATTAAAAGTACCCGTAACCTGCGAGCGTTTATGAAAAATTGATGAATGTGAATGAAACAAAAGAGGTTTGAATTAATTGACACATTTAGTGTTTCATTGTTTCTGCCTACCCTAATGGGAGACAGACGTTACAGACATGTATGTATGTACTTATTTTCATATATTATGTTTATATGTAAAAATAAGTTTGTGTCACTTGCTACTTCTTCCTTATATCTTTTTTTAATTTGGAATGCTAATTCTAACGGCTAGACTAAAGAGTTCATTTAAAAATAGTTATAACATTTTAGAATGCAAATAGGTTTCAAAAAATCTTCATCTTACGTACTTTGTCTCGTTATTTATATTATGGATATGAAAGTGAGTTTGTTTGTCACTTGCTACCGTCCTAAGATCTATTTTAATTTAGAATGCTAATTCTTACTACTTCATTCGTAAAAAAAGTTATCAACACAGTAATAATCCCCATTAATTACAAAACTAATTATCAAAATCGATTAATAATAATAAATCGATTTTTAAAATATTGCGTCACGTACAGAAAAATAGTTTACTATAGGTAAATTGACAAATGCTCCATTTTGAATTCGCTTAAAAAACTAACATTTTATTTCTGATGCGGTGACATTAAAAATAACCGTTGATTAACATCTTTATTGCGTAAATTACTCGTAACTGTAAACGGCGACGGTGATATTAGAGAAAAACCACTAAATAACTAAGGTGACACTATCGCATAGATCGCTGACTGGGGCACAGTAATAAATAATGAAAATTACACCGAGCGATGATAAGGGCTCCTTTACTAATGAACCTGTTCGCGATATACGAATTCTTTATTTAAAAATTTATTTTGAATTTAGAACATGACGAAGTACATTATAATGAATGTGTGTTATAAATAATTTTGAATTTAGAAAGCTCAAATCAAAAAAAAAGAATAAATGAAACACGACCAAAAAATAAATTAAAAAATTTGTTTTAAGAGTATATGAGTTCGCATGTGTTGCCGTTATATTTTGATAAATTGAATAAACAAACGGTCATTATACTAATTTAATTGTGCCGTGTCAATAATATTTTTGCCGTATCGTCCCGGTACAGAATGCTGGGAAAGCAAGGTGTTTCTTTCCCGTGGATGTAGTAAAAGGCGACTAAGAGAACTTAACTTGTTAACTTGTTCGTGCGATGGGCAGCACGTACCTCTTTAAACATCACCAATACCTAACTGCGGTTGCCAACCCTCCTTGGCAGGAGGCATGACAACTATTGACAAAACCCTCCAATGGGGGAGGCCTATGTTCAACAGTGGACAGTTAACGGCTGATATGATGATGATGATGATTATTTAGAAACGTCGAAGAATATACACTGATACAATGAAATAAACAATGAAATTTAAAAAATTTCGTATATGTAAATGTTTCTCATTTCTAACAATAACTTTATTTTAAACAGCCAAATTTATAAAAATATCTGTTTTTTTTTTAATATTTTTTGAGTAAAGAGTTTAGAACAAATATAAATAGACTAATCCCAAATGGTGCCATATCCAAAATTAGTTGCAAAATACTCAATCTATGTACACAATTTTGAGAACCCCTACGGCCTTTATACGGTTTTTATTACTAGCAACGTTAACAAGCCTTTTAAAAAAGTAGTAAAAGTAAAAAAAAATAATAATAATAAAAATGTCCAACATAAGAAAAATTAGAAATTAGCCATAATGTGGTTAAGTCGTAACTTTTATGTACTTCGTTTGTATAAGTAAAAATTTATGCGATTTGACTAATACGTATTTAGAGCGATTAAGGTTTGTAGAGATTAAAAAAATCTGAAATTTGATTAGAAAAATGTCGACCAATTAATTAGAGAAAGTTTGATTTGATATTATTTTTATATGTTTTTTTTTTGTGAAAAGAAAAAGTTTTTTTTTTGTTTGTTACCTTATAACTCCATCAGATTTAAACTAATTCAGAAAATTTCTTTTTTTATCTAAAAAGATATATTTACATACTAATAATTTCATTCAGTACTTTAGTTTTTAGAACAAAATAACTAGTTTTGTTACAATTGAAGTCAATAAACACACACAAAATTCGATATATTTTAATGTATACTAATATTATAAATATAGAAGAGAGTTTGTTTATTTGTTTATTACTATAAAATTTAGCATATTTTAGTTAGTATTTGTTGCGGAGAAGAACATATTTACCTTTTTTCATCCTGAATCAATTAATATGTGTAGCTAATAAATAATGAAGCACCACGTCTATAATTCAATATTTATCCCAAAAGTGGATTGTTAGAGAATACCAATATTATCGTTTTTTTACCACATTTTCATTTTCTTGTTTAAATAAATGAATAAATAAAATATTTTACTGAACTAGGTGTTAACTTTCGGAAGTCCACATCACTGGTTATTTGAATAGAATTATTTTG